GACCTTCTGGCTCTGCAACCCCCTGACAGGAGGGGGGAGCCGGGGGGGGTCGGGCTCTGCTCCCAGGGAACAGGGACAGGATGAGAGGGAACGGCCTCAGGCTGTACCAGGGGAGGGTCAGGTTGGATATTGGGAAAATTCCTCCTGGGAAGGGCTGTCCAGCCCTGGCACAGCTGCCCAGGGCAGGGGTGGAGTCCCCATCCCTGGAGGGATTTCAGAGCCCTGTGGATGTGGCACTTGGGGACGTGGGTCAGTGGTGGCCCATCTCCTGATGGTTGTCCTTCTCCCTCCCCATTTCCAGCCCATCAGAGCTCTGGGAGCTGCCTCCTGTCCACCAGCCCCCCTGTCCCCAGCACAGGGTGACTCACCTGTGTCGGGATCCGCGGGATCCTCCGGATCCTCCTCTGTCTCCATCCCTGGCCGATGGCCCCCCAGGGACATGACGTTCACCACCAGGATGGGGAGTTCTGTTTGCAGGGAAAAGGGATTTGAAAGACCCATGGAGAGCTCCCTGCTCCGGTGTGAGGAACTGGAGATTGCCGGGAGTGTGTGGAAAAGCCGGAGAGAGCTGTGGCTCAAGAGCCAGGACATGGATTAGATATTGTGAAAATTCCTCCTGGGAAGGGCTGCCCAGCCCTGGCACAGCTGCCCAGGGCAGGGGTGGAGTCCCCATCCATGAAGGAATTTAAAGGCCCTGTGGATGTGGCACTTGGGGACGTGGGCAGTGCTGGCCTTGGCAGTGCTGGGGGATGGAGGAAGCTGATGGTCTTAGAGGGCTTTTCCAAGCTCATGGATTCTAAGGAAAGCCTGTGAGGTGTTGGGAGGAACTGGAGCAAAGCCACACATGGACCAAAAGCAGAGGGAGGGCTGGGAGAAGGACACCAAGGCGCCATGTGCCATCACCTCCACAGAGCAGCCCCATCCCACCATCTCCACAGGCTGTATTCCCATGTCCAGGCCCTCAACCCCCTTCCATTGGCCCGTGCCAGCGACCCAAGGCTCCCACTCCTCCCTGGGGATGCTCCTCTGAGCATCAGGAGCAGCTGTGCCCTCTGCCACGGGCACTGCCAGAGAAACACACCCCCCTGGCACCCCTGGGACTCACCTGGCCCCCCTTCCATGGGGACAGGACCTTCTCCCAAAGCCTCTTCCTGCTGCTCCGTCTCTTCTGGTGTCTGTGGGGGCTTCTGATTGTTGGGGACACCTGTCTGGGGCTGTTTCTGTCTGTCCCCCGTCTGTGTCTGGGGGCGTTTCTGTCTGTCCCCAGAGCGTGTCTGTGGTTGTTTCTGGCTGTCCCTGGTGTGTGCCTGTGGGTGATTCTGGTTGTTCCCAGTGTGTGCCTGTGGGTGATTCTGGTTGTCCCCAGAGTGTGTCTGTGGGTGATTCTGTCTGTCCCCAGCCTGTGCCTGTGGGTGATTCTGTCTGTCCCCAGAGCGTGTCTGTGGTTGTTTCTGGCTGTCCCCAGTCTGTGCCTGTGGGTGTTTCTGGCTGTTCCCAATGTGTGTCTGTGGGGGCTCCTGACCCTCTTTTTCAGGGAGCTCTTCACCCCTCTCGATCCGGGATGGGCCACTGGGCTTGGACACAGCACTGTCCACTCCTGGGGCAGAGGAAGGGGGGTTTGTTAGGGTTTGGCTGCACCTTTATCTTGCCAGATTCCCAAAGTGACCCTTGTCCCCTGTCCCCAGCCCCGACAGACACACAAACACCTCCTCCCTGCCCCACCCCTGGCAGTGGAGCAGGACAAGCAGAGCAGCTCCAGCCTCCTCTTCCCACCTCACTCCCAGTTCCTCACTTCCCACCACGTCTCCTCTCTCACCGTGGCAGGCAGGAATGTCTCTGGAAGCCCCATTGCTCCAGACCCCATCCCAGCCCCTCCTGCAGGCTTTGCCTGCTTTTCTCCATGGGATCCATCTGACACAGCACAAACATCCCCCTTGGAATGAAGGTTCCCGGTGCTCCAGGGCAGTTTGATCCACGGGGTCAGCAAACCCTGGGAGATCTCCAGGAACAGCCACCTCCTCCTGGCACCCACCTGGGCCAGCTTCCATGGGCATTTCAGCTCCCAGAGACTCCTCTGCCTGGTCCATCTCTTCTGGTGCCTGTGGGGGCTCCTGTCTGTCCCCAGCCCGTGTCCATGGGGGCTCCTGATCCTCTTTGTCACCGAGCTCTTCATCCCTCTCGATCCGGGAAAGGATGTCGGGCTTGGACATGGCATAGTCTGTTCATGGAGCAGAGGATGGGGTTATTGGGAGCTGCTGCACCTTCATCCTGGCAGATTCCCAAAGGGACCCTTCTCCCCTCTCCCCAGCCCCGGCAGAGACACAGAAACCCCATCCCTGCTCCATCCATGGCAGTGGAGCCACTTCCTTGGCCCTGTGGCAAGATCCACCCAGGAAAAGGATCTCAACCAACAGAGCATGAACTAAAATTCCAAAGGAGAGGGAAAAGCTTTGGCTGGAACATTTCCCTCTAGTGGAAGGCAGGGACGCCTTCCACTATCCCAGGTTGCTCCAAGCCTTGTCCAGCCTGGCCTGGGACACTTTCAGGGATAGGGGCAGCTTCTCTGGGCAACCTGTGCCAGGGCCTCCCCACCCTCACAGGGAAGAATTCCTTCCCAATATCCCAACTTCCCCTGCCCTCTGGCAGTGGGAAGCCATTCCCCCTTGCCCTGGCACTGCATGATGATGGTTCCCCAACTCTGGAATCCACTTCCATAGCCAGGGAGAAAAGCGTTTCACACAGATATTTCTTTCTAAGAAATTATTTTGCATTATTATTATTATTATTATTATTATTATTTACTCCAAGAATTCTCCGTGGATGCTGCTCCTGGCTCACAGGCAGGAGGGTGGGAAAAGGGGGGTCTGGCAGCCCAGGAGTGGTTCTGCCCCTGGGGACCCAAGGGAATGGCTGGAGCTGTGCCAGGGGAGGCTTAGGCTGGATATCAGGAAAAGGTTCTTCCCGCAGAGGGGTGGTTGGGCCTGGAACAGCTCTGCAGGGCAGTGGGCACACAGCTCAGGGAGCGTTTGGATAACACTCTCAGGGACAGGGTGGGATTGTTGGGGCTGTGCAGGGCCAGGGGTTGGACCCGTGATCCTTGTGGGTCCTTCCCAGCTCGGGACACTCCAGGGCTCCCTGAGCCTTACCCAGGGACACCAGTGTCTCGTAGTTGCCCCTCATCACGGCCCTGTACAGGTCCTTCTGCCAGCGCTCCAGCCTCTCCCACTCCAGCTCGTTGAAGTACACCGAGATGTCATCGAAGGTCAGCGGCACCTGGAAGCACAGGGAACCCACGTGGCTCCACAGCCCCCGGACACGCAGGAGCTCAGCCCCCCACCCCGGGGAGCCCCCGGACACCGTTACCTTGGGGATCTCCCCGCGGGAGCCGGGGGGCAGGCGCAGGAGCCAGAAGTTCCTGTTCTTGAGGAGGTTCTCCAGGTTGAGCAGGCGCTGCTGCAGCTCCCCGTAGCCCTGCAGGACGGTGCCCAGGCTGGCCAGGCCGCTGCCCAGCTCCCCCACCAGGGTCTCGCAGGCCAGGAGCCGCCGCTCGGCGCGTTCCGTGCGGCTCCGCAGCTCCTGCAGCTCCGCGCCCGGCACAGCCCTCCGCCGCGGGGAGCTCGACACCTGGGGCGGACAGGGAGGGGGCTTCAGGGGTCAGGACCCCCCGGCAGCCCCGGGGAGTTCCCCCAGACCCCCATCCCGCAGGGATCTGCCAGAGCATGCCTGTCACCCCCAGGGGAGCACCCCATCCCCGCCTTCCCCAGGACCCAAAGGAGACCCCCAGACCCTCGCACTGGCAGCCTTGAGGGACCCCCAGCACCCCTGGGGGACCCCCCTGTCCCCATGAACTGTCACCCCTTAAGGACCCCCATGACCAGCCCCCCCGAGGGGTCCCCCAGCTCCCC